ATTGCTTTAGCTATTTGAGGTCTCTTTTGCCTCCATATGAATTTCAGCATCATTTTTTCTAGATCTGAGAAGAATGTCTTTGGTATCCTGATTGGAATTGCATTGAATCTATAAATTGCTTTTGGGAGAATGGACATTTTGATTTTGTTGATTCTTCCAATCCATGAGCATGGAAGATTTTTCCATTTTTTGGTATCCTCTTCTATTTCTTTCTTTAAGATTTTGTAATTCTCATCATAGAGATCTTTGACATCCTTGGTTAAGTGTATTCCAAGGTATTTGATTGTTTTTGTGGCTATTGTGAATGGGATTGATCTTAGACGTTCTTCCTCAGCCGTGGCATTGCCTGTGTATACAAAGGCTGTAGATTTTTGTGCATTGATTTTATATCCTGCTACTTTGCCAAACTCTTCTATGAGTTCCAATAGTCTCTTAGTAGAGTTCTTTAGATCCCCTAAATAAAGAATCCTATCATCTGCAAAGAGGGATAGTTTGAGTTCTTCCTTCTCAATTTGTATCCCTTTAATTTCTTTTTCTTGCCTAATAGCTCTGGCTAGAACTTCCAGAACTATATTGAATAGCAGTGTTGAGAGTGGGCATCCCTGTCTGGTACCAGATCTCAGTGGAAATGCTTCCAACTTTTCCCCATTCAATAGGATGTTGGTTGTGGGTTTTTCATAAATTGCTTTGATTGTATTGAGGAATGTTCCTTCTATACCGAGTTTGCTTAGGGTTTTCGTCATGAAAGGGTATTGTATTTTATCAAATGCTTTCTCTGCATCTATTGAGATAATATATGGATTTTCTTCTGCAGTCTGTTAATGTGGTATATCACATTGATTGTTTTGTGCACATTGAACCATGCCTGCATACCAGGGATAAATCCCACTTGGTCTGGGTGGATGATCTTTCTGATGTGTTGTTGCATTCTATTGGCCAGAATTTTATTGAGGATTTTTGCATCTATGTTCATCAGGGATATTGGTCTGTAATTCTCTTTCAATACTGCATCTTTTTCTGGCTTAGGAATTAAGGTGATGCTGGCTTCATAAAAAGAATTTGGGAGGATTCCCTCTTTTTGGATTGTTCTGAATAGTTTGAGGAGAATTGGAGTTCGTTCTTCTTTAAATGTCTGGTAGAATTCAGCAGTGAATCCATCTGGTCCTGGGCTTTTCTTTGTTGGGAGGGCCTTAATTACTGTTTCAATTTCTGCCTCAGTTATGGGTCTGTTTAGGTTTTCTATGCCTTCCTGGTTCAATTTAGGTAGGTTGTATCTATCCAGGATTCTATCCATTTCTAATAGATTTCCCTGTTTGCTGGCATACAAGTCCTTGTAGTAATTTCTGACGATTCTTTTTATTTCTGTGGTGTCTGTTGTTACATTTCCTTTTTCATCTCTGATTTTACTGATTTGAATCTTTTCTTTTTTGAGTTAGTTGGGACAATGGGGTGTCAATTTTGTTTATTTTTTCAAAAAACCAGCTCCTCGTTTGGCTGATTTCTTGTAATGTTCTTTTGGATTCAATCCTATTGATTTCTTCTCTGATTTTAATTATTTCTCTTCTCCTGCTAGATTTGGGTCTGGTTTGCTGCCATTTTCTCTTAAATATTCCTGTTTTTTTTTTTTTACTTTGGATTTCCAAATTTTCCTTGTACCAAAAATATGCTTATCTCTGAATTCCATTTTCATTTTTTTTTTGAAAGGCAGAGTGGACAGTGAGAGAGAGAGACAGAGAGAAAGGTCTTCCTTTGCAGTTGGTTCACCCTGCAATGGCCACTGCAGCCTGCGTGCTGCAGCCGGCGCACCGCGCTGATCCAAAGGCAGGAGCCAGGTACTTCTCCTGGTCTCCCATGGGGTGCAGGGCCCAAGCACTTGGGCGATCCTCCACTGCCTTCCCGGGCCATAGCAGAGAGCTGGCGTGGAAGAGGGGCAACTGGGACAGAATCCGGCGCCCCGACCGGGACTAAAACCCTGTGTGCTGGCGCTGCAAGGCGGAGGATTAGCCTAGTGAGCAGAGGCGCCAGCCCCTGAATTCCATTTTCTAAAAACTTTTTTTTTTAATGAGAGAGAGAGAGAGAGAGGGAGGGAGGGAGGGAGGAAGAGAGAGAAACACTTCCCTGTGCATTGGTAATTGGTTCACTCCCCAAATGTCTGCAATGGTCAGGTCTATGCTGGGGTTGGAGCTAAAGCCAGGATCTTGGGATGCAATCCAGTTCTATGTGGCTGACTCTTGTGGGTGGCATGAACTCAGTCATTTGAATCATTACTGATGCATGCCAGGGTCTGTTGGCAAAAAGTTGTAGTCAGAAACCCAAGCCTAGAATTGAACCCATGTATTTAACGTGGAATGCAAATGTCTTAACCGCTAACCTAAACACCTAAAACTAAACTCCATGAACTTTTTGAAATAGTCTCATATATCTTTGTTACCATCTAGATAAAGATCTAGAACATTTTCAGCATCTCAGAAGCCTTACTTGTATCCCTTTCCAGTTAATACTGTTTTTCTTTTTGGGAACACACCACTATCGTTCATATTCATTCATTCTCTCTATCTATGTTATCTATCTCTTCTTTCCTCATTCCCTCCCTCCTCACCCTTCCTTCCTCCCTCTTTTTCTCTCTCTCTGTTTGTTTCTTTCTTGCTCTCTTTGTTTTTCTTTCATATTTATTTATTTACTTGAAAGGCAAAGCATTAGAGGGAGAGAGAGAAAGACAGTTATTCCATCTACTGGTTCATTCCCCAGATATTCACACTGGCCAGTCCAGGCTGAAACCAGGAGCCAGGCATTCCATCTGGGTCTCCCATGTAGGAAGCAGAGGCCAAAGCATCTGGCTATCGTCTGCTGCTTTCTCAGGCACATTAGCTATGAGCTGGATTGGACTGGAGCAGCTGGGATTTGAACTGGCCCTTACATGGGATGCTGGTGTAGCAGACGATGGCTTAACCCACTATACCACAATGTCATCCTCTACATTTTTTATAGCTGAATAATTTTCCACTGTATATATACAAACATGTTATATATACACTATAAATATACACATTATGTACATATAAACATGCTATATAATATATACATTTATATATTCTGCACACACACACACATATATATTATCCATTCATCCATTAAAGAGCGCCTAGGTTGATTCCTTATTTTGACTGTTGTAAATAGTTCTGAAATAAACATGTAAGTGCAGATGTTTTCTCAATTTTCTTATTTCATTTCCTTTGAATATACTCAGTAGTGAGATAAGTGGATCATGTGGAAGATGTATATTTAGTTTTCTAAGGTGTCTCCATACTATTCTCTATAATGACTGTGCTAATTTACATTCCCACCAATAGTGTATAAGAGTTCCATTTTTCCACATCTTTGTCTGCATTTGTTATTTTTTGTCAATAGGCATTCTTTTTTTGTTTGTTTGTTTGTTTGTTTTAAGGGAAAGGGTTTATTGGGGAAAACCCGACAGACTGGAGGGAAGGGGTGAAGAGGGAAAAAGAGAAGGAGAGTGTGAGAGAGAGATCCAGAGAGAGAGATCAAGAGACAGAGGAAAAGGGGGAGATGGATCAGGAGACGGAGAGAAAGAGAGCCACGTGTTCAGGGACAGGTCCTTTTAAAACTTTGCTGGAAGGTGGGCAGGGATGTAGGAGCATTGAATCCCATTAGGATGGAGGTGGAGCTGACACCAGTGGTTGGGCCATGTGGCCACCTGGCTTCCAGCAATGGTGGCATTGGGGTATAGATTGCGCCATAGATAAGACTGTGCCATTTTACTAACATTCCCCCCTTTGTCAATAGACATTCTAACAGGGATGAAGTGATACTTCATTGTGGTTTTGGTTTGCCTTTCCCTAATGGCAAGTAACATTGAGCACTTGTTCATATTTTTTAATTCCTCCTCCTCCTCCTTGTCCTTGTCCTCTTCTTTCTTTTAAAATAAGCTTTACTGGGGCCTGCATTTTGGCATAGTAGATACCTGCCATCTGTGATGCCAGCGTGTCATAGGAGTGCCAGTTCGTGTTCTGACTGCTCTACTCCTGATGTAGCTCCCTGCTAATGCACATGGTAAAGCAGAGGAAGGTGGTCCAAATTCTTGGACCCTTGCCAATCAATTGGGAGACCTGCATGGAATTCCAGGCTTCTGGCTCTGCCTGTGCTGGCTGTAGTCATTGCCACCATTTGAGGAGTAAACCAGTCAATGGAAGAGCTCTCTTTGTGTGTCTTTCACTCACTGTCTAACTCTGCCTTTCAATTAGATAAATAAATCTTATTGCCACATTCTTTTTTTTTTTTTTTTTTTTTTTTTTTTTTTTTTACAGGCAGAGTGCACAGTGAGAGAGAGAGAGACAGAGAGAAAGAGAGAAAGGTCTTCCTTTTGCCGTTGGTTCACCCTCCAATGGCCGACACGGCCAGCGCCCTGCAGCCGGCGCATCATGCTGTTCTGAAGCCAGGAGCCAGGTGCTTCTCCTGGTCTCCCATGGGGTGCAGGGCCCAAGCACTTGGGCCATCCTCCACTGCACTCCTGGGCCATAGCAGAGAGCTGGCCTGGAAGAGGGGCAACCGGGACAGAATCTGGCGTCCTGTCCGGGACTAGAACCCGGTGTGCCGGTGCCGCAAGGCAGAGGATTAGCCTATTGAGCCACGCCGCCGGCCTTAGATAAATAAATCTTAAAGACAAAATTAAAAAAAAAGATTTACTTATTTGAAAGGCAGAGGGTCACATAGAGATAGGGAGACAAAGAAATAGAAAGATGTTCCATCTTCTGGTTTACTCCACAAATGGCTGCAGCAGCCAGTGCCAGACAATGCCAAAGTCAGGAGCCAGGAATTCCAATGAGCACTCTGACATGGGATGCTGGCTTTGCAAGAGGTTGTTCAACCTAGTGTACCACAATGCCAGCCATTTGCATTTCACCTTCTCCCCCACCCCTTCTCCCCTCTCCCCACTCCTCTTCTCCTTTTACCTCTAAAGATTTGTTTTATCTATTTGAAAGAAGAGAGATAAAGAGAGGAGAAAGAGAAAGAGATCTTCCTTCTGCTGGTTTACTCTCCAAGTGGCCATGATGGTTGCGCTGGACCAGGATGAAGTGAAGGAGCAGGGAATTCTGTCCAAATCTCCCACTTGGGTGGTAGAGTTCCAGGTACTTGGGCCATTTTCTGTTGTCTTCCCATGTGCATTAGCAGGGAGTTGGATTGGAAGTGGAGTAGATGGGATTCGAACTGGAGTTCATATGGAATGCTGTTCTTGTAGGTGGCAGCTTACTCTGTTGTGCCACAATGCCGGCACCATGTTTCTTTTGAGACATGTGTGTTCAGATAAGTTGCTCATTTTTAAATTGAATTTTATTTATTTACTTGAGCAGTAGAGTTACAGAGAGAGGGAGAGACAGAGAGAAAGGTCTTCTATCCACTGGTTCACTCCTCAGATAGCCGCAGTGGCCAGAGCTGAGCTGATCTGAAGCCAGGAACCAGGGGCTAGGAGCTTCTTCTGGGTCTCCCACGCAGGTGCAGGGGCCCAAACACTTAGGCCATCTTCCAGTGCTTTTCCAGGCCATAGCAGAGTTGGATTGGAATCGGAGCAGCTTGGACTAGAACCAGCACCCATATGGGATGCTGGTGCCACAAGCAGGGGCTTAACCTACTGTGCCACAGTGCCAATATTTTTTTTAATTGGATTGGATTGGATTTTTTAATTATTGAGGTTTTTGAGTTCTTTTTACAGTCTAGGTATTAATTCTTTGTCAGATGAATGGCTTGAAAATATTTTCTCTTTTCTGTTGTCTCTTCACTCTGTTGATCATTTCTTTTTTGCTGTACAGAAGCTTGTAGGTTTGATGTATTTTTGTTTTGATGTTTGTGCTATTGGGATTTTTATTAAGAAATCATTGTTTTTCACTGATGTCTTGAAGTGTTTCACCTGTGTTTTCTTCTGGTGGTTTCCTAATTTGAGAGGTGTTACAGTTAGATCTTTGATCCATTTTGAGTTGATTGTTGTTAAGGGTGAGAGATAGGGGCCTCATTTATTAAAGAGGCTGTCCTTTCTTCCATTGTGTGTTTTGGTGCCACTTCTGGTTTATCTATTGGAAAAAAATCACCCCTTTACCACAGAATGGCAGTAGTGTGTTTGCACATAAATGAATTTGTGGACCTCTGCCATCTGTTTTTATTATGAACTTTGTGATATATTCCAGTAGACTGTCATTTCCAAAGAAGTGTGACTTGTTTCTAATTTGTTCACTACACTGTCCTCACTGTTTAGCTCAGTACCAGCCACATGATAGACATTCTTTGCTGATTGTGTGAGAGTGTTCATGAAAGAAATATACACAGGAAGTCTAAAAATTGTTGGTCAGGGGCTGGCGCTGTGGCGTAGTGGATTAAGCCACCGCCTGCAGTGCTGGCATCCCATATGGGTGCCAATTCAAGTCTTGGCTGCTCCACTTCCCATCCAGCTCTCTTCTATGGCCTGGGAAAGCAGCAGAAGATGGCCCAAGTACTTGGGCCCCTACATCCATGTGGGAGAACCAGAAGAAGCTCCTGGTTCCTGGCTTCAGATTGGCGCAGCTCCGGCCGTTGCAGGCAGTTGGGGAGTGAACCAGCCGATGGAAGACCTCTCTCTCTCTCCGCCTTTCCTGCTCTCTCTGTGTAACTCTGACTTTCAAATAAATAAATAAATCTTTAAAAAAAAAATTGGTCAGTGAAGAATTCAGCTGTTCTTAGTTGCACATTATGCTTATATATGAAGTAGAACTAAAAGTGTGTTTGTAGATTTAACCTGCCCTGTATTTCCCCACCATTAGAATTTATGTAATGAGATGCTTTTGCCACTTTATTTTTATTTTTTAAAAAGATTATTTATTTGAGAGGTAGAGTTACAGACAGAGAGGGAGAGACATAGAGAAAGGTCTTTCATCTTTGGGGTCATTCCCCAAATAGCCACAACTGCCGGAGCTGAGCTGATCCAAAGCCAGGAAGCTCTTCTGAATCTTTCATATTGGTGCAGGGGCTCAATCAAATGGGCCATCTTCCACTGCTTTCCCAGGTAATGACGGAGAGCTAGATTGGAAGAGGAGTAGCTGGGACACGAACTGGCACCCAGATAGGATGCTGGCGATGTTGGCGGAGGCTTAGCCTACTACACCACAGCGCTGGCCCACTTCTGCCATTTTATTTGAGGTCTTTGGCTAGGGAATTTCATTTAGTTCTTAGATACAGATTTACCTCTGTTTTCTTGTCATTATACATATATTGTTTGCTGGAGACATTTTATGAGAATCTGCTGCTTTTCAGACAGAAAGTAATTATTTTTGACCACTACATATTTAGGTTTGTGGATTCTATAAAATATGTCATTCTAAATCTAACAAGAAGTTAAAATCAGGGATGTATGTAAAAGGATCTATTATAGTAAATTGTTTCTCAGTTAGATATTAAATGATAATTTTTTACCATTTTTTTGGTTTTTGTAGAAATTGTCACAGAAGGAAAAAGGAGAAAATCTTCATCTTCTGATTTACATGAGGTATGCATTAGTTTTTCTTTTAAACTGTTTTTATTTTGGAGTTACTGGTATTTTGCAATTTATCTTTTAAATAAAATTTTAAGGAAAGTGCTCTTGAATTTAATCAGTTTTGGGGGGGATATTGTTATAATCTGATTAACTAAATGAAGTTTAATCAGGAAACTGTTTCTTGGACCAATCTTCTTCAAGTCATTTTATGATGACAAGTATACTTTCTAGGCCTCAGTTTTGATTTTATATAAAATGTTAACAATATTTCTGTGATAATTTAATATGGTAGAGCTACTCATGTTTATTTATTAGTATTACTATAGATGTAGAAGAGGTATACTCAAAGTATGTTCTGAAAATCACTGGAATGTGTCATGTAAAAACTTTTTCTCATGTATTTCTTCCATATAAAGCAAGCTTAGCAAATCAAGCAAAATGAAATTTCTACTTATATAGGAAGTCTTTTTTAAAAATTTAACCATGTATGGACAGATGTATTTTTTTCTGTAGAATTTTGTTATGTAAATGCTGTAACATCCTGATTTACATTATAATTATTTATTAGGCACTTTTATCACTTTCCGAGTTATGCACAGAGACCTTTAGTTTGAAACATTTAAAAAATATTTATTTATTTGAAAGGCAGAGTTACAGAGAGGCAGAGGCAGAGAGAGAGAGAGGTTTTCCATCAACTGGTTCACTCTCCAAATGACTGCAATGGCCAGAGCTGAGCTGATCCAAAGCCAAGAGCCAAGAGTTTCTTCTGGGTCTCTCATGAGGGTACAGGGGCCCAAGGACTTGGGCCACCTTCTGCTGCTTTCCCAGGCCACAGCAGAGAGTTGAATCGGAAGTGGAGCAGCCGGGACTTGAACTGGCACCCATATGGGATGCACTGCAGGTGGTGGCTTTAACCACTATGCCACAGCGCCAGCCCCGAAACGTTTTTATGTTGTGTAGTTGTAGCATTTAGCAAAGAGGGAGAAGAAATCCTAAAGAATGGTGGTGAGAAGGAATCAAGAATGCCTTAGAAGTCTGTTTAGAGTGTGGCTTTAGTGACTTTCTTCCTTGGCTTACTTAGGATTTTCAGTGTGTAGTGTCTCCATTTAAAATTCTTGTTATAGCTTCAATGGAATGAATAATGGAGGCTAAAGGGAAAGTCTTACATTAGTTTTCTGTTGTTAAACAGTGTACTGGAAAGTGGGTAATTTATAAGGAAAAGAGGTTTCTTTTGGCACAGTTTGGAGGCTGGGAAGGTGATGGCATCTGGTAAGGCTCTTATGTAGATTCACTTCATGTCAGAAAGTGGAAGAGCAAGCAGGCAAGTGTAGAAGAGAAGCTTGTGTAAGGAGAGCAGAGATAAGTGGTAAAGCCTGGAATTATAATCTAACAAACCCAGGGTTATAAATAACAGGGATAGGGTGAGATGGACCCAAAAATCATAAATTAATAACCCAAAGAAATTTGGGGAGAGAGGACACCTCAGGAAAAAAAACTGGGTGATGTTATATGGATGATTAGCTCCTACAAAATTCATGTGGAAATTTGACTGCCAATACAAAGGTGTTGAGAAATAAAATTAGTAAGGCAGTTTAGAATATGTGGGTTGAAGAGTAAAATTAGAAATATGATAAGGATGATTTATAATAAGGGAGATAGGAACAACCTCAGCCAGGGTCCCCATTCCCCAAGAATATCTGGGAGTAGTTGTTGCCAGATTCCTTTTATTTTTTTTTGACAGGCAGAGTGGACAGTGAGAGAGAGAGACAGAGAGAAAGGTCTTCCTTTGCCGTTGGTTCACCCTCCAATGGCCGCCGCGGCCAGCGCGCTGCGGCCGGCGCACCGCGCTGATCCGATGGCAGGAGCCAGGAGCCAGGTGCTTTTCCTGGTCTCCCATGGGGTGCAGGGCCCAAGCACCTGGGCCATCCTCCACTGCACTCCCTGGCCACAGCAGAGAGCTGGCCTGGAAGAGGGGCAACCGGGACAGAATCCGGCGCCCCGACCGGGACTGGAACCCGGTGTGCCGGCGCCGCAAGGCAGAGGATTAGCCTAGTGAGCCGCGGCGCCGGCCGCCAGATTCCTTTCATCCACATCACAGTATCCAAAATATTACTGACTTGAATTTCAACTTGTCTGAAATCATTGTTATACACAGAACAGAACACACTGAAGTGGTTATGAAGGATCATACATGTGCCTCCCTCTGAGGCAAGAAAATTGTCTAAGGCCATTCTATTATCCATTAGAGATTCCTTTAGATAAAATACTGAGGGCTGTGCCATTAGCTAGCTGTTCAATGACCTAAATTATGTTTTTCCAGGCTCAGTTCTTATTTTGCATGACCCACCCGAGGAATAGCAAGAGCTCAGGCATTTAGAGCACAATACACAAAATGAGCCCATGTGCTTCTTTTTTTTTTTTAATTTTTTTTTTTTGACAGGCAGAGTGGACAGTGAGAGAGAGACAGAGAGAAAGGTTTTCCTTTTCTGTTGGTTCATCCTCCAATGGCCGCTATGGTGGTGCACTACGGCCGGTGTGCTGCGGCCAGCGCACCATGCTGATCCGCAGCCAGGAGCCATGTGCTTCTCCTGGTCTCCCATGCAGGTGCAGGGCCCAAGGACTTCAGCCATCCTCCACTGCACTCCCAGGCCACAGCAGAGAGCTGGACTGGAAGAGTGGCGACCGGGACAGAATCTGGCGCCCTGACTGGGACTAGAAGTCGGTGTGCTGGCGCTGCAGGCGGAGGATTAGCCTATTGAGCCGCGGCGCTGGCCCCATGCACTTCTTTTAATCCTGAGAAAAAGGGGCTGAGGATGGAGATTAGAAAATTAGGAATTATGGTTACTCCTGGGTTGAGAGCTAGCACAGTACATTCCCTATAGGTGATACATTTACTCAGATACTTGGCGGATATTAAGACATGAGAGTTTGAGAGTATGTAGAGATTGTTATTCTATAAGCAAACATGTAGCCATCAGGAACACAGAGAAAGTCACGTGTATTATCTGTAGAGTTTAGTAAGTGCTTAGGAGATCGAATTTAGTTGTCATTAAGAATGAGTCATTTGGGCAGAGTTCCCCTGCCATGTGCAGAGTTTCTTATGGCTAGTCGGTATTTCCATGAGTGTGAATCTTGGACAAGAGTTTTGTTAAGGGGCTGGCGCTATGGCGTAGCAGGTAAAGCCCCCGCCAGCAGTGCCAGCATCCCTTATGGGCGCTGTTTTGAGTTCCGGCTGCTCCACTTTCTATTTTTTTTTTTTATTTTATTTTATTTTTTATTTTATTTTATTTTTTTTATTTTTATTTTTGACAGGCAGAGTGGACAGTGAGAGAGAGAGACAGAGAGAAAGGTCTTCCTTTGCCGTTGGTTCACCCTCCAATGGCCGCCGCTGCAGCCGGCGCACCGCGCTGATCCGATGGCAGGAGCCAGGAGCCAGGTGCTTTTCCTGGTCTCCCATGGGGTGCAGGGCCCAAGCACCTGGGCCATCCTCCACTGCACTCCCTGGCCATAGCAGAGAGCTGGCCTGGAAGAGGGGCAACCGGGACAGAATCCGGCGCCCTGACCGGGACTAGAACCCGGTGTGCCGGCGCCGCAAGGTGGAGGATTAGCCTATTGAGCCACGGCGCCGGCCTTGCTCCACTTTCGATCCAGCTCTCTGCTATGTCCTGGGAAAGCAGTAGAGGACGGCCCAAGTCTTTGGGCCCCTGCACCCATGTGGGAGACCCAGAGGAAGCTCCTGGCTCTTGGCTTTGGATTGGTGCAGCTCTGGCTGTTGCAGCCAATTGGGAAGTGAACCAGTGGATGGAAGACCTCTCTCTCTCTGCTTCTCCTTCTCTCTCTGTGTAACTCTTTCAAATAAAATAAATAAATCTTTAACAACTACAAAAAAGAATTTTCTTAAAATAGTCCCAAGCAAATAAAGGGCAGCCTGGAATCTGTATGAGTATGAAAGAGGACAAATACAGATAGCTATGTGCCTGCAACAACTTCAAATGCAATATTCTCTGGTGATTTTCTGTTTGCCTCATTCCTTCTACATTAATTAATAGGATTTTTTTCTGTAAGCAAAAGCTGACCCTCTTCTTCCATTTATTTATTTAAATATATCAATATGGAATCATAGATATTTATTTTATTTCAAGGGTTATAATCCACTACTAACATTGCTTTTTTTTTTTTTTAAATTTTATTTATTTATTTGAGAGGTAGAGTTAAAGAGAGTGAGAGGTAGAGACAGAGAGAAAGGTCTTCCATTGGTTGGTTCACTCCCCAAATGGCCACAATGGCTGGAGCTGCACCGATCCAAAGCCAGGATCCAGGTGCTTCTTCCTGGTCTCCCACGTGGGTGCAGGGGCCCAAGCACTTGGGCCATCTTCTACTGCTTTCCCAGGCCATAGCAGAGAGCTGGACAGGAAGTGGAGCAGCCGGGACTAGAACCAGTGCCCATATGGGAAGAAGGCACAACAGGCAGAGGATTAACCTATTGCACCATAGCACTAACCCCCTATTGCTTTTTTTTTAGTCAGAGTACTGTAGCTTTTCAAGGAGATATCATTCAGATTGGCTGCCATTCCCTTTGACATATAGTCTCTTAAAGTCTATTAGGTGTATTTATTTCTGTGTACTCAGCACCTAACCCAGTGCTGGCACCTGACAGGCACTCCAGTGATTTATGAATGACATTGAATTGGAAAGTTGTTCTGGATGATGAAAAGCCAATGAATCAAATCATTACAGAGCCCTTATTCTCTAATGACAGAGCCATTACATTTTTAGGGGGAGGCAGTGAACCAAAATATTTCATATTTCAGCATATTTTTCTCCAGATAAGACCCACATTTTTTTTTCCGAAACTCTCAGAAAATTCTATAATAAGCCACTTCCTGATTAAGAAGCATCCTCCTTCCTCAAATATGCTCCTGTGAAAAACATAATGTTGAAACAAAATGTGTTTTATTCAGGTAATTACTCCCAAAAGCTAGACATCTGGAAGGCAAGAGGTGTGTTTTTCTTTTTAAAGATTTATTTATTTATTTGAAAGTCAGAATTACACAGGGAGAGAAAGAGAGGCAGGGTTGTGGGGAGGGATCTGCCATCTGGAGCTTTGCTGATCTGAAGCCAGGAGCCAGAAGCTTCTTCCGGGTCTTCCACGTGGGTGCAGGGCCCATAGACTTGGGCCATCTTCTGCTGCTTTCCCAGGCCATAGCAGAGAGCTGGATTGGAAGTGGAGCAGCTGGGACTCATACTCATGCCCATATGGGATGCTGGCACTGCAGGCGGTGGCCTTACTCGCCCCAGCGTTGGCCCTGAGTGTGTGTTTTTCAAAGAGAGAAATATTACTTGTTTCTTTTGAGAACCACCAAAGGGCTTCCTCCCTTGTCACTTTGATTGAGTCCAGCAGAAAGGACTTGTGGTGAAAGATCTGCGCTAATCAGATTCATCAAACTGCTGAACCAGCGGGAAGCATCAGAGATCCTGGGTGCTCTGACTATGTGCACTGTTCTAGGATGGATGCTGCTGGGCTGACAGCTGTGGTGGGCTTAAAATATCCAGGTCCCCACTCCCTGCTCCAGACCCAGGCCCTGTGTGTTGACCAGACACACCAGAGGCCTCTGGAAAAGCTCAAACTAGCTGCCTGTCAGGCCTGGCTGAGAAAATGCTGGCACCCCCACAGCTTGGTATGGCTGGGCTGTCCCAGGGTGGTCTGCTCTGCACTCCCAACTCGGGTGCAGTGTCCTTTGGGCCTGCCGCATGTGGCTCATGCACCACACCTGGGATGCCTGGTAAGGGATGCCTTCTCATTAAAACACACTGACAACCAGAATCTGGGAATGGGAGCTCATACCCGAAGCTTTATGGAAAGCAAATCTGAATGGCCAGATGATACACGCAGGCTGTGTCTTTAGAATTGTGTAAGGAAGGCAGAAACGTTCTCTTTTGTGACCCGTGTAAGCCAGGCTGAAGGTATATTGCCTTTTATGACTAGCTTCGGACGTCATGCACCTGTACGGATTCAAGGGGAAGAAACACAGTCCAGACATTGTAGAACTGATAATATCACATTCTAAGAAGAGCAGGTGAAGTGGGAAATATTGGTGTGGCCATCTTTAGAAAATACAGTCTGCCACAGAATTCACTGTAAGCTACTTACAAAGAACGAATGGGTGGGAACAGCCATAAGCACTTGTACCTCCTGAGGAAGCAACTTTTGTTTCCTAACTTGGAGTATGTGGCAGATGATTGCTTTAGAAGTAATAGTGCCTTTTGTAGATGAATAATTATAAAGATGCACTTTTTAAAACAAAATAGCAAGAAATTAATTAAGAAGTTACTAGTCCTAGGAAGATTAAATTTATCCTCCAGAGGTGCTAGTGAAATAAAAGAGTTGAAATACTCTGATTCAATTTTATTTTTATCCTCCTGACTTAGGCTTTCTTATCATAGAAGTAATTCAACAGATTGTTACTGGTTGTAGTTTTACAACTTACTATGTGTAACCTTTGTAGGCTGAATTTGAAGTTTATTCATCACTTATGAGTTTATGTGAAAGATTATTTAATTTAATTTAATTTAATTTAATTTATTTTTTTTTTTACAGGCAGAATGGACAGTGAGAAAGAGAGACAGAGAGAAAGGTCTTCCTTTTGTCATTGGTTCACCCTCCAATGGCTGCCGTGGCCAGTGCGCTGCAGCCGGCGCACCACACTGATTCGAAGGCAGGAGCCAGGTGCTTATCCTGGTCTCCCATGGGGTGCAGGGCCCAAGCACCTGGGCCATCCTCCACTGTACTCCCTGGCCACAGCAGAGAGCTGGCCTGGAAGAGGGGCAACCGGGACAGAATCTGGTGCCCCAACCCGGACTAGAACTGGTGTGCCGGCGCCACTAGGTGGAGGATTAGCCTATTGAGCCGTGGCACTGGCCAGATTATTTAAATTTTTAACAAATGATTTCAAACTTGTGATTGTAGTCCATGCTTGCATTCATTTATTTAATATATCATGAGCCACATGCTTTGGAGATAAAAATATGAAAAAGGCAGAGACTTCTCTTTAAGGAGTTCTATGGTCTGGATAAGAAGTTACACATAGACAAATAACAAGAATATGGTATATGTGTAATGTAACAGACATAATATAAATATATCACTTTCTAATACCTTGATGTAAGGATAAGAGAATAATTTTGACAAGAAAATTTAGTACTTCACACTAAAAATAGGGCATTTTAGGTTGAGGAAGCAAGATACACAGAGATCTAGGAATATAAAATAATATGACATGTTTTAAAAAGGTTGAGTAACTTAACATGGTTGGGTTTAGAGTTTTGAAGTGGGGTGATGTGAAAGAGCACCAATTGTGAAGAGCTTTGTCTATAAATAATGGGTGCCATTGTTTTTTAAGTAGTTTAAGTATTATAACCATAATTAGATTTATGTATCAAAGAACTGTGGAGCTTGCATTTGAAGGATCAGAAGGGGAGGAGACTGAAGGCAAAAGAATATGAATGCTCTTTGCCTTTTGGTGATGTTAAATTCTAATAAATGTACTGCAAATTGAAAATATTGTAAGTAAAAATTGCGTTTAATATGCAATTAAAATCAAAGCTTAGTGAAGCCTATGTTTAATGTGCTCAGAACACTTACTTTACCTCACATTGGGCAAAAATCATCTAACACAAAGACCATTTGTAACTAAAGTTGGGAATATCTCAAGTAACCTATTGAATACAGTACATGGTAGAGTTCAATATTGGTTGCTTACCCTTTTGATGATGTGGCTGATAAAGCCACAGCTTACTGCTGCCCAACCTTACAAGGAAGTATTGTACCACATATTACTGTTCTACTGAAAGATAAAAATCCAAAATTCCAAATTCCACTAAATGTGTGTTGCTTTTTTATCACCCTAAAGTCAAAAATTAATTTGTGGCTGGCGCCATGGCTCACTAGGCTAATCCTCTGCCTGCGGTGCCAGCACACCAGGTTCTAGTCCTGGTTGCCCCTCTTCCAGGCCAGCTCTCTGCTGTGGCCCGGGAGTGCAGTGGAGGATGGCCCAAGTCCTTGGGCCCTGCACCCCATGGGAGACCAGGATAAGCACCTGGCTCCTGGCTTCGGATCAGTGCAGTGCTCCGGCCGCAGTGCGCCGGCCGTGGTGGCCATTGGAGCAAAGGAAGACCTTTCTGTCTCTCTCTCTCACTGTCCACTCTGCCTGTCAAAAAAAAAAAAATTTATTTTGAATCATCCTAAGTTGGGGGCCATCTATAGTTATGAAGCTGCAATTCACTTGTCCACCTTTATACTCAATGAGTTTTTAAAATAAAATTGTATTTTATTGCTTGTGCACTGAGCACTGAATTTAAAACTCTGAAACTGTTAGCAGAATATTAATGCAAGGTAATATAAGGGTTCTGCTAGCTGATTCAGCTCTTGCATGTATTTTTTAATTAAGCTGATTATTATCTCATCCTAGTTTCAGATAAGAAAGATGTTAAATGTAAAACCAGAAGATGCTCATGCTCAATCACCACTGTCCAAATTCAGAAGCACAGAATGCTGGGATCTCCCTTTGCAGGGGGTAAATAAAATTAACTTCTTTTAAGCATATAATTTTATTTGGTGTGTTTAAAATATTTTAATCAAGTTGAATTTCTATTTTCCTGGATGTCCTTTTTTATTTTCTGCGTGATTTAATTGCAGATTTTAAATTAGTTTATCTCTGAAATATGTTGGAATGATGCTTTGAGGTTAGGACTTCTTTTGATTTCTTCCAAATTCAAATCTCATTGTAAAATAAGTTGTTTTATTAATAATAAAATTTTAAGTTTTGTAGAATCATTTGTTCATTTGCTTTTATTTGTTTTTAATTTTTTTAAAGGCTTACTTGTTTGTTTGAGAGGCAGAGTTACAAACAGAGAGAAGGAAAGGCAGGGAGATAGATCTTCCATCTTCTGGTTCACTACCCAAATGTCCACAATGGCCGGAGCTGGACTGATCTGAAGCCAGGAGCCAGCAGCTTCTTCCTGGTCTCCCACATGGGTGCAGGGATCCAAGCACTTGGGCCATCTTCCACTGATTTCCCAGACCATCAACAGGGAGCTACATTGGAAGTAGAGTAGCTGGGACTTCAACCAGCACTCATATGGGATGCTGGTGCCATAGGCTTAACCTACTGCACCACAGCACCAGCCCCCTGTCTTTAAATTTGAGAGAGTACCTCTTCAAAGGTGATATAGTTGTGTATCAATAGATATTCTGATTATAAATCTGGGCTTTAATTTTATCACTGGTAAGCATTATTATAGGGCTCTGGTTGATAAGGCTTAGTATAGCAATTTTTTTTTTTTAAATAACATAGGACTTTATTAGTTTGTCATCTGAAACAGCTCATGGTCAATTGTTTAAAAACAGAAATTTTCTCAGATTTCCCAATTTATACACTTTTGGCTATATTAGTCTGCTAGGGCTATCATATCAAAACACTACACAATGGGTGGCTTAAAGACAAAATTATTTTTTCACAGTTCTGGAATCTGGAAGCCCAATATAAAGGTGTTGGCAGTGTGCAGATATAAATTTTCAAGTTCTTTGAGTAAATACCAAGGAATGTGATTGCCAGATCATATAGTAACAGTATATTTAGTTTTGTGAGAAGCTGTCAAACTCTTCCAATATTGTAGCATTTTGCATTTCAACCAGCAGTGAATAATTCCTGCTGTTCTATATTTTTGGTAGCATTTGGTAGTGTTAGTGTTTTGGATTTTGCCCATTCTTTTTAACTTTTAATTCTCTGATAATATATGAAGTGAAACATTTTTGCCTTAGTATATCTGCCATATGATGTGAAGCATCTATTTGCCATCTGTATATCTTATTTGGTGAGATAATCTGTTAAAGTCATTAGCCCATTTTTTTTTTTAGGAGAAAATAATCATAGATTATTAATCTGCCTAGAGAAAAATCACAGTTTGGGATCTTACACAAACTTTGAAACTCAAAAAAGGGCTAGATATTTGAAGCTTATATACCCTTCTTTATAGGGGAGGGTGAGATGTGACAATTCTCAGAATTAATAAGAGATTACTAGAGACAGAAATCAGCTTGTAAAATGATTTCAGTGAACCTAAGGTAGAGAGATTATCTTTTAACACTCTTTCCACTTTTTTCTTAAAAGAGTAGCTTTTACTAATTTTCATACAAATGAGACAACCAAATTACAAATTGTACATGATTTTTAAAAAAAGTTTAAATAGTTTTTAGTATAGTTCAATATAGTTCGTAGATACAATTCTTTTTTTTTTTTTTTTTTTTTTTAATTTTTTTGACAGGCAGAGTGGACAGTTAGAGAGAGAGAGACAGAGAGAGAAAGGTCTTCCTTTGCCGTTGGTTCACCCTCCAATGGCCGCCGCTGCAGCCGGCGCACCGCGCTGATCCGATGGCAGGAGCCAGGATCCAGGTGCTTTTCCTGGTCTCCCATGGGGTGCAGGGCCCAAGCACCTGGGCCATCCTCCACTGCACTCCCTGGCCATAGCAGAGAGCTGGCCTGGAAGAGGGGCAACCGGGACAGAATCCGGCACCCCGACCGGGACTAGAACCCGGTGTGCTGGCGCCGCAAGGTGGAGGATTAGCCTATTGAGCCACGGCGCCGGCTCAGATACAATTCTTAGAATATAATGATATTCACTCTTTCTCCCTCTCTTCTTCTCTTTCTCTCCCACCTTCCCTCACTCTCCCTTTCTTTCTTTTTTAGTTTTTGATATAACAAATTTTATTTTATTATTTTTAAGTTTTATTTAAGGTCTACAAATCTCATGTATTTCCTATATACAGATTTAGGAACATAGTGATACTTTCTACCCTACTCTCCTCCCTTGCCTATTCCCATTCTTATTTTTTACAAAGATTTATTTTCAGTTAACTTTATACTCATAAGATTAACGCTATACTAAATAAAGAGTTCAACAAATGCCATGAAGGCAAAAAAAAAAAAAAAACAAAAAACACTGTTACTCAACAGTTGAGACAAAGACTGTTCAAAATCATTGTATCTCAGAGTGTCAATTTCACTCCTATAGATAGCTTTTTTGGTACTCTCTTAGTAACTACAGATCAGGAAGAACATATGGTATTTGTTTTTTTGGGACTGGATTATTTCACTAAGTATAATGATTTCTAGTTGTATCCATTTTGTTGTAAAAGACAGGATTTCATTCTTTTTTACACCTGAGTAGTATTCTGTGCTATGTATTTACCATAATTCATTTATCCAGTCATCAGTTGATAGACATCTGAGTGGTTTGGTATCTTAGCTATTATAAATTGAGCTGCAGTAAACATGGGGCTACACATAACTCCTATATACTGATTTCATTTCATTTGAAATGAACTGGATGGTTGGGTCATATGGTATGTCTATTTTCAGCTCCAAAAGCTGTTTTTAATAAATATATATGATGTGTCTTGATAGGGATTCTTTGAGTTTATCCTGTATCAGGTTAAGTGAGTTCTTTGAATCTGTAAGGTAATGTCTTTGATCAAACTTGGAAAGCTGTCAGCCATTAAAAATTTTTTTTTTTTTTTTTTGACAGGCAGAGTGGACAGTGAGAGAGAGAGACAGAGAGAAAGGTCTTCCTTTGCAGTTGGTTCACCCTCTAATGGCCGCCGCGGCCAGCGCGCTGCGGCCGGCGCACCGTGCTGATCTGATGGCAGGAGCCAGGAGCCAGGTGCTTTTCCTGGTCTCCCATGGGGTGCAGGGCCCAAGCACCTGGGCCATCCTCCACTGCACTCCCTGGCCACAGCAGAGAGCTGGCCTGGAAGAGGGGCAACCGGGACAGAATCCGGCGCCCCAACCGGGACTAGAACCCCGTGTGCCGGTGCCGCTAGGCGGAGTATTAGCCTAGTGAGCTGTGGTGCCGGCCTAAAAATTTTTTTTTCTGCACATGTTCATTTTTCTCTCCTAGGATTTAAATGACATGAATATTAGAAATTTTATATTTTCTCAGATGTCTGTAAGTCTTTATTCATTTAAATTTTTAAAAATGTTTTCTGTGTATTCAGGTTGTGTAAGTTCTATTGGTTCATCTTCAAATTCACTGACTCTGTTTTTTAAAATCTGTATCTTAATCTTTAGTCCATTTAGTGAATTAGTGGTTATCTTTTATCTCCATTTTCACTAATGGTTATTTTTTATTTCTATCTTATTCTTCCCCCATTTAGCATATCAGTAGTTATCTTCCCTTTTAGTTTTAAAATTTCCATTTGGTTTTCTCTAATCATTTTTTTTCTCCACTGAGGCTTTCCCTATTTCCATTTCTTTGAAGAGAGTGCATCCTCCCTTTTCAGAGGATAGTTGTAATAGCTGCTTTAAAGTTTTTTTTTTTTCCTGATGGTTCTAATCTATCATCTTGCACTTAGCTTCTTTTGATTGTTTATGTGAGTTGTTGAGATTGTCTTGTTCCTTTGTATGTCAATATTTTTTGGATTGTCCTGGATATTGTGATTGAGTTGTGAGTCTCTGGTTATTTATTTATTTGAAAGGCAGAGCTAGAGAGAGAGAGAGGTTCCATCTGATGGTTCACTTTCTAAATGGCCGCAACAGTTGGAACTGGGCCGATCTGAAGCCAGGGACTTCTTCTGGGTCTCCCAAGTGGATGCAGGAACCCAAACACTGGGGCCTAAGCAGTTGGGCCATCTTCTGCTGCTTTCCCAGGCCGTAGTGGAGAGCTGGATTGGAAGTGGGGCAGCCGAGACAACTGGCACCCATATGGGATGCCAGCATTGCAGGCAGTGGCTCTACCCGCTATGCCACAGCACTGGCCCTCCAATGTTATTCTTTTTTTTTTTCTTAAATTTATTTGGCAGGTAGAGTTATAGACAGTGAGAGAGAAAGACAGAGAGAAAGGTCTTCTTTCCGTTGTTTCACTCCCCAAATGGACACTCTGGCTGGCGCTGTGCCAATCCGAAGCCAGGAGCCAGGTGCTTCCTCCTGCTCTCCCATGCGGGTGCAGGGGCCCAAGCACTTGGGCCATCCTTCTCTGCCCTCCCGGGCCGCAGCAGAGAGCTGGACTGGAAGAGGAGCAACTGGGACTAGAACCCGGTGCCCATATAGGATGCAGGCACCGCAGGCGGAGGATTAACCAAGTGAGCCATGGCGCTGGCCCCTCCAATGTTATTCTTAACAAATATTCGTCAGAGCCCTATGATAGTTTCTGTGTTTATTCCATCTAAAATTCTTAGTTGTACTCTATGGAAGAAATATTCCTATTCCTCTCTCATTTTACCTGAAGTGGAACTCTTATTCATTTTTCAAATATGAGTTTTTAAAGAAATATTTGTTTATTTTAAAGGCTGAGTATCAGAGAGAGGGAGGGCAAGGGGGAGAGGGTGAGAGGGAGAGGGAGAGGTTAGAGAGGGAGAGGGTGAGAGGGAGAGGGAGAGGGAGAGGGAGAAATAGAGGGAGAGGGAGAGAGAGAGAGAGAAGAGCAGAAGGGGGGGGAGAGAGAGAGAGAGAGAAAGAGAAAGAGAAAGAGAGAAAGAGAGAGACTGACTGGCTGAAGGCAGCACCCAGGAACTCCAGAC